TTGTAGACCAATATTTGGTCTTATAAACATTGGTCCTTAATTCGAAGTGTCCTATAATTTTGGGACACACTATTAGTACGTGTAGGCAATATCTACTCAAGTGCATATTTACGAAGTTTTTTAGAAGTAGAGCAGACTAAATGAAAAACTGAAATTAATCTGATTCATTTTTTTTGTAGACGAATATATATTTATGTTCTCCTCAGTAATGCATTCATTAATGTGTTGTTGATAGTTCACAATGGTAAATGTGATTATATATTATAAAATACACTTACAATCATAGTGATCGTTATATTTTGGAAAGTGAAACAAAAAAAATTGATGAAACTCTGCAATCAAGGATATTCACGTTCACAGAATTTTTTATTAAGTCTTCAATTGCTTTTGAATGCACCGATGGTAGTCCATATTTTGAGTACTTCTTTGGATAACTTATAATAACAAGAGCGTCATCGAACATTCGTATTACAACACTAAACAAGTTTTAATATTTCTGCTCTTCGTATCTTTTTTAGTCACTCTTACTTCACTGTAGCAGATATGTTTGAAAAAAATGCAAAAACAAGAATCAATTTTTACAATATATGTTTTTCTATTGAAATTTTGAACTCTCAGTCTCATATACTCCTGCAACGAAAAATATTAGTACCAACACATAAAAAAATGAAAACAGTTTAATGTTATCAAAGCCACACATACAGTACTGCTTCATCATCCAACGGGGAATAATATTCCGTTCGGTAAGCACGTGTACCGTACTTCCGAAGATCACATATTCTGGAAAACTTCTGATCATCTTGCCACAAACCATCATGAACAATGAGAAAATTCAATTTCGGGAGACGGTTTATAAGTATATCTAATGTTTCAGGTACTTGAGAATTATAAAAGTCTAACTCAATGACTTGTAGTTGTGGCAATCGTTTCACGATTGAAAAAGCAATGTCTGTTATAGTCGTATGTTCCCAATCCATATAAAGATTGAGCCGTTGTAATCCGATTGACATAAGCATATTGCACAAAGAAGCATCGTTGAAAAGATCGATCAAATTTTTCTCGTTTGAATGATCTTTAGAATCAAGATTTAATATAGAATACAGCTGTAGAGTACGTAGATTAGTTGTTTGTCTAAAGAGCAAGTAAAGTTGAGCAAAGTTGAATGGATCACTAATACTTAGCGAGATAATTTGATGCCAAGAAATTATAGTTGGTAAATAAGAGAGAAATTCGTCGTTGACTTGAGAGTGATGACTATCCAAGATAATCTTATTGATGCATACCAAACGATTGTTCAAAGCTGGCACAGTATATGGCCAGTGACTTTGTCTAGATTTAAGAACACCGTTTGTCGTAAGAAAGAAAAGAAATTTATTCTTACCCACGAACAGTGTTTTTGTTTAGATAACTATAAGCAGATAAAGATTTGTCAATTCGTGGTATCGTTAAAGCTCTAATAGAATAATAATTTTTATATAAAGATAACTCCAATTCGACTGGTACTCGTCCTTTGAGTCGTCGAAACGTGTCTAACAAGATGACACTTGTATCCGATAGTGAGACTGGAGTCATCACATACCAACTAACAACAAACATATATAAACATTGGTCACAAAGCATCGATAGTAAGTTGTGAACAACATGGGATCCAGTCACATTTCCCAATAATGTGAAGTTCGCCAGTGAAAACCAAACATTACGCTCAAATAATTGATCAAGTGGTGGCACATCACGAAGATTATTTCCCGGATTTATTTTAAGACGACGTAGGTTAGGAGCCAGACGTTTATCAATACTAGATATTCGACTAAAATAGAGTAGCAAAAATACATTTTGCAATAATCATAAATACGTGACATATTATTTCAATTTTTTACTGGAATATACGATTTTCTATCATTCATCTACACATCATATCATACACTATCAGCGTTCTGTTTACGTACAACATTTCGTAGTTCTGTATCCAAAATACATTTATCTCAACAATATGAAAAACTATGGAAATTTTTTAAAGAGCACTTTACATATAAGAATTTCTATGTCATTAGTATGTGTATCAGGTTCGTGAAAGAATGAAATTTCTATCAAGCTCAGCTTTTTGATCATCTAATCATGTCTATTCGCACTTATTTGGAAGACGTTCTTTCTTTGAAATCAACAATATTTTCTATACGAATTTTTTTTTCTTATTATTGTCTATAATACTTATCCGTCGATTAATATTTAATGAAATACATATTCTTGTGAAAAAGTTATGAACAAAATCTGGAACAAGTTTATAAGTAGAACCATAAGAAATAATTCAAGACCATTATGAAAACATCTTCATAGACATTCTGAATCCATTTAATAACGATTAGTATTTTTTTCAATGTAATGTCTTTCATCGTACAATACTTTCTTGTTTTCATAGAATTTTTCGTCTTGTTCGAGATCCTTCATCTTTACAATATTGAAGATATTTTTTTCGAAAGAAACTAATTACACATTGCAACTTATTTTACAATCTGTTGTAACATTTCTTCAAGAGCTGATCAAGTTTTATTTTGCAGTAGAATAAAAATATTCTGTTGACTGAGTCTGTTCTGTTTAACTGTGGAGTATGATATAGATGTCAACGGATACACTTTAGATCAACAAAAATAGGAAGACTTGTTCTTTTAAGTATATGTCGAGAAGTAATTCTAATGTCCATCAATTCAAATTTTAAAGAGACAAACTCAGCTTGACTTTAGCTAGGATCGAAAAGGATTGATTACTTTTCGCTAATAGAAAACAAAACAAAAACAGTAAGCTATGTCTTAATCTCATCGGAAATAAAAGATGTTGCTCATTTCTTATTACATGCATCAATCTACACCAACACATAGAATTTCATATTTGTGAGTAATTGCAACCAATTCTCTCGTATCCATTGAGTTCTTTGAAAAAAAAACTTTCGAAACAATTTATTTTCAAACTCTGAATTTTTTGAAATTGTCATCTTAGAATTAAACACTTTACGCAGAACGAAACTAGGAATTAGTCAAAAAGTATATTATTAATTCAAAAATGGCTCACTCTAAGCTATAATGTATTATAATAATATGATCGAATGTATTTCCATCTTTCATACTTTTTACTCTGAGTTTAAGAAAAGAAACTTACTTTTTATCATCACGCCTTAATGGATGTTTACCAGGTAGCCAAGGAGTACTAATTTCAAGGCTTAGATCTTGTAACTGAGGAAGATGTTCAAGTAAATGTGACAGAAAACCTAATGAACAATGTCGAAGTACAATTGATTGTAACTTCAAAAGACTTGTTTGAATCGGCATGAAAGTTTTACCAAATGGCAAAGTTATTTGATGGTCTATAATGTTATAATTGTCATGTTCGAAACGAAAATAACATTTACGTAATGAAGGAAATAAATGAAAGATTCGTTCATAATATGTACCTTCAGGAACACCTTCAAACGTGTAAACAGCACGATAATATTCTGTATAGCGTATGCTGAACAGGACAAGAGATGTGTTGGGTAAGGTTGTATTGAGCATCAATTCAAAAGAAGAACGTTTAATGTCGATTAGTGATAAATGACGGAGACGGATGAATGTTGATAAATGTGTTGCTAACCACAAACCATTATCAATAGCTAATGTATCTGAGACACATAATGACATAAGACGACTACATATTCTCGATTGTGTTAAATGTGTAAAGTAGAATTCAGTCACTGCTATACTGATTCCATTCAGACCCAAATAAACAGGAATAAGTGATAGTATGTCACTAACGATAGCAGCAAAACGTGAATTGAGATTAGAAAAAGTATTGAATACTTCATGAAACTGGAAATAAATAAATATTTCGTGAACCAACTCGACAGAGAGATGCTCTAATGTTGTTGTTTTTATCATATTTTGTTTTAATATCAAGCTATTGGGTGTTGTGTATCATTCTTATTTAATATCCTCATCAACAATAATACAAAGCGTCATTGTTCTTTTCGTCGTCCGTCGTCGTAATGAGACGATGTTGTTGTTATTCGTCAGCTTCATAGATCAACGAATATACCATATCCGTTTTTTTTTCTTTCGATCATTTTTCTTTCAGCAACAATTATGAGAGAGGTCACTGAAATGTTTTTCGATAAGGGTGTGGGTGTGAGTGTTGATCTTTAATTCATTCACACCCTCCACCCACCCACACCCACCCTGATTTTGTAAACGAGTGTTCACCATAAAGAAATGTTAAATAACAAGTAACGCTCATCTGTGTGACTTGCTTAACCCTCGACTGAATATTTCACTCTTTCGGTAGTTCTTTATTGCCGCAGATACTTTGCGTAAGGTGTAGCATCTACCATTTGCACACGGCTTTGTGTTGGTGTCAACATTAATGTGCACATCTGTGTCGACATGTACAGTGCTAATGGTATCCTTGTGATACTGCTGGCTATATCATTCATTCATTTAATGTGTTACTCTATCAACAACACCCAAAAGAAATACACGTGATCCACACTGACATAGCAATATCCACAGACCACGAAAAAAGTAGTATATATTATTTGCAGAGAAAATCAATAGACAAAACATATCAGCACGATTGTAGTAAAGATGCACTACACTTCTCGAAAATTATATTGATAGTGCGTATACTCATTAACACATTGGCTGGTACCCGCTACGAAAATGCATATTTAGCGGAACTATCAGACTAAAACAATATATTTGTTCAAACTAATATCTGGTATATGCAACTTAAATGAGGCTTCAATGCTGAGTCTTTGCGGGATGAAACAATCAAGTTCATGTAGCCGGAAAAAAATTTGACAAGTTCATGGGCAGACGACGTATCTATGAAGACAAAAGATTATTTGATTCCAGTCAAATCTACTTTTAATGATTCGATGTAAACTGTTTTATTGACGTTTTTCAGTAAATGTTCGATTCCTGATGCTGAAGACGTCCAATCCACATGTCCCTCCACTTCATTCAAATGCACATGTTAGCCCTCTTGCCAGTTCTTCCTTCCATGAAAACCAGTACGCTCTAAACGGTAGAGATTTTTCCAATCAATTGGGAGTTTTTAAAGCGTTATATTCAAGGAATTTCTAAGGGAGCAGTTAGTTGCTCGTCAACGCCTCGATGGGGCGCCACTCGCGGCTAACTGCTGCTATGCATCTTTCTCTTCTAGTAATTATACGATCATGCACTGTCATTTAAATTTTACTGGATCCTAGATTTGACTGAGTTTCGAAAATGGCTATATTTATCACATGAGAAATTCCAAAGTGAAAATACTTGTGAAAGCTGTTTCTTATGCGTTTCAATCGCTTACCTAGCTAGTCAATCTGAGATTTCATGAAACTCGCCATAAAAAAAAAGCTTAAGTACATGACTCCACACAAAAAACTAGCTTAATAGACCATATGTCACACAAAAAAATTCTGAAATTGAAACAAGAGCTACTATATTTCACTGTCGGAGCTCAAGCGTGGCGCTACTCACACTGAACTAGTGTCATATTTGAACATATTTTCACAAATGACTACTTTCTTAATCAACGCATGACTAATCCACACTTCAACTACTTCAAAAGCTTCTCTATTCGTAACCAAAGAGTACTAGATTTCCTATATCAAGCAAGATATGTTTTAAATATATACTCGTCGTCTCTCAAGCTTCTCCATGTTTAAAAGAGTCCTTCTCTACATAAACGTCATTGATTAAGTCTCAGTGGCGCTTTTCTAAGGACTTTGTTCGACGCTATACAGAAATATCGTAAGACATGTTGTGTAAATCTAGTTTAGCGGCAGCTAATCGTTCATCGGCCACTCAAAGGTACGCCATTCATGGCTAGCCGCTACTTCCATGTATTTAACACTCACGAAAGGTTGATGCCATTTTCAAAATCGAGCCATTGTTCATGTTTAAAAACCAGATGGAAAGTTTGATCCGTTACAAAAAATTCTTCAACATCAGAAATTTTCTTTGCAAGTTTATTAATATCCAGCAATATGGCATGTTAGTATGACCTTACTGATAATCTGAAATGGTCTTAATAACTGAACTCAACCGTTGAATCCTGTCAACATAAACGATTTTTTTGCGTACGTCACTCTCATTCCTGAATGTTTGTTCTACAGGTACTCTAATTCCATCTTATCTTCGTATTTCTTGATTCATTACACTGCAGTAGCGCATTACAAAGTACTTGTAGTTTCTAAACATCACTTCTCATGGAACAAAAAGATTCGAGATCTGAATTTCGAAAACCTGATTCAGATTCGGATTTCTCATCCACGATAACCTCCAGCAAAGTTCGATCAAAACGGCCAAAAGTCCTAAAATTAGAAAGTTGGTTTCTGATTGATTGGCTGCCGGCCAATGAAACCTCGGCCAAAGAAATGGGCTTCGGATTCTGACTCAGGGTCCTCGATAACCTATAGCAAAGTTTCATCAACACGGCGAAAAGCCTTAAAATAAGCTAACCTCTTATAGACTCGTTAGGGGTAATTCGGAGCAAAAATTAGAAAATCGATTTTGTTTTTATTCGCTCTCAATCATTGTANCTTTATGAACAATAGTACAAAGCATTATTGTTCTTTCTGACGATAGTCACCGCATAAGACGATATTATTATTGCTATTCGTCAACTTCATAGGTCAACGTATATACAGTTTCTCTTTTTTTCTTTTCGATCATTTTTTTTTCCAATAGCGTGTTTATACGAGGTGATAATAAAATTTATCCGATAGGCCATGAATTATCCTGTTTTTTCTTATATGAAATGAAACTCATTTTTTTTATATCACATATATGACAACATTTTTCAAAAAAAAAAGCTGCATAAAAATTATGAATTATAATTAAAGCACTGATTACTTTTTACCATTGTATATCATCATTTGACTTCCAATGATCATTTTTTCAATGCGTGAAATGTCAAAAAATATAAGACATCAAAATTCTATTAGTCTTCAATGAACTTTGAGTATCAGTTAACCCTGTCAAGACGGATGATACATCATATATACCACAGTCGATTTTTTAACAATGAAGTGTATTATATATTCACGATTAGAAATAGTTGCATATATGCTTGAGTAGGCTTATAGTAGTGATATGGATCTAATGTGACTTGCTTGATCATGCCCTATTTTTCTCTCTTTTCTATTCTGCATTAATCTATCCAAGGGTAAAAAGGTGTACTCCCTGGAAACCGGAAATACGGGAGTACAGGAGTCAAGGATGAAAAGAAGTACTCTCGTAATTCCTTACTCCGTGAAATCCATGTACTTCCACTATGCTCCCTGGATTTCAGAAGTACGAAAAGTATAATGGGAGTACAGTTTTATAACCAAGAAAAATATAAACCTAAATCCAAGAAGATAATGACGTAGTCGCCTACTTCATGTACTCCCGTATTCTCACGATCATCTTAGTGTATCTCACGCACTTCCACTACATTCTTATTATACTTTCATACCTTCACTATACTCTCGTACTCTCACTATAATCTTGTACTCTTGGAGTACGTGAGTATGCCTTTTATTCCTTGATCGGAATCAAATGATAATTCCTGTACAAGAGGAAATAAATGTTCATAAAATTTTTCATAAGAAGTCTACATTCAAAATCCGTAGATTTATATCTGATAATTAAATGATAGAAACTAACCGCAGCATTGCTTCGATTATTCGCACTTTTTCCAATCATATAAAGCATAATTGATTGAAGTAATTCACATGCAGTAATCTTTATTTGATGATCAGAACTATGTTATGCTAAATCAACAATCCGAGAAAAAAAAAAGTATCTAAATTGAAATCAAAAAGATTATTAGAAAAAAATCAAGATATTTTTTATTACCAAGATGAATCGTTGGTTTTAAATCATCAAATGGAACATTAAATGGTATATGATTTTCATTATCTCATGCGATCACTTCTTTGATTAACTAATTTGAAGTATCATCAATCAGATAATGATTAACACGATCGTCTAATGAACCAAGATATTTCAAAATACGAAATTATACACGATGAATATCACTATCGCAAGAAAAACTATGGTAAAAAGGATGAATTTCTTCATGTATGTTTGATCTGTTTCGTCTTTCTAAGCATTCATATTGGTAAAGAATGTTTACTTTTTCAATGGCAATGTGTTTTTTCTTGTAAGGATGATACAACAGCACAAACATTAACAATATCACCTGAAATATTCAATATTCGCATGTTTTGAAATCTTTTTTTTTCGTTACCTTCATCATGACATAAAAAATTCTGTAAATTTAATGTTGATTGTGACCATCGTTCCAAACTATTTATTGTCTATTCTAGCTAGTGTTAAATAATTAGGTTAAATCAATACTTAAAGCAGGCTAAAAATATTCAAACGTTATCCTTCTTTCTTCATTCAAAGATTTTACTTGAATCGCCGGTACATAATCAGTAAAATCATAATCAATACATTCTAATGGTAATGAGATAATAAATTGTAAACATGATACAACTAAATTATCTCGACATTGTTGTTGCTGAGAAAAAGACTTCATGTGAAAATCGTTGAACAAGTACACAGATGGTTGCGACTTGTTCGTTATCATTAATATCAGTTTCCATCATTTCAATATCACTACGAGTTGCTGACACAGAACAATTAGACTAAAGAAGTTCAAAGATGAAAATGAAGAGTTTTATAATGATAAAATTGCTTTGAAATAATCAAGTTTTAGATAAATATTCATAACAAATGTTATATATTCCACAAACTAATGGATATCTAAAGAAAAATATTTCTTAGATAATTATTGATTAATTATGAATTACTTGGTGGATGCGGTTATAATATCATATAAAAATCTTGATATCTATTTTTCAAATAATTCTTGGGATTTCACAGGTAATAAATCTCTAAACAAAAACTTCACATTCATTCGACAATCTATTCAAATCTCTACTCACTGACAAAAACGAGATTATAAAATATTTGAAAATCTTTTGGTTTTATTGATCTCATTCTAAATACTGTATCACTCGCAATAGTTTCCTCATTACTTTCCTCCAAAGTTCAATTGAAACTAAAATCTAATCCCTTTTTCTTCTTACTTTTGTTTTATCTTTTTCTATATTTAAATCTAATCGATCAATAATATATAAAATTGAATCAATAATTATATCATAAAAAGAAACGAACATATTTTGTCGATCAAATATTGAATATATATTTGTATAAAATTCTTTTAATGTTGTGACATTTAAAATTGTTTTCCATAGCGAAAGATAATTTTCATAAGCAGTCGTTTTATCAATTGAAAGAAGTGACATATTTTGTCTTCAGATAGATCAGGTTCATAATTTTCTAATTCTTGTTTAATAGTAGATTTTAATGGATTTGAACAAGAACGAATCAATGCTTTTCGTAACTGAGAAAAAAACAAAATGAAAAAAAGGAATAATGGAAGAATTCAATATCAATTTGGTATAGAAATGGTTTATAAGAATTTAATTTTGTTCGTAAAGATAAAATTATATTAATTACAGATGAACATGTTGTTGCTTGTGGTTTAAATGGATAACGTGCATAATAATCAATTTTCATCTAAGTTAAACGTTCAAATGGATCAAGAAATTCTTCACCAATTTAAAGAGAAAAAAAGGTGTGGGTGTGGGTGTGGATGTGAGTATGGGTGTGGGTGTGGGTGTGTTCTTGCCTCACACCCACACCTCCACCCCCATCCCTACACCCCACACCCCTATCTTTTGATGATCCACCTCCTACTTTTCGTTCTTCAACTATTCTGAAATTGAGTGTTAGATTACAATGTTTTGATTATTGTCTTTATCTTCTCGATGGTCGCTTTAACCAACTTCACACATTCTATGTTGTTTTGGTTAATCTTCATCGTACACAATTAATTGAAGAACTAGTTAGTTTAACAAGAAAACCCTCCATGTTGTCAAATAACAAAATAAATTTTGTTTTTTAGGGTGATTTATCAAATCTAAAGTGTTTTTTCTCTGTCATGTAATCTCGAAACATCTAGTCACGATGAAACAATTCTCCCACTTCTAAATCATATGTCAAATCTGGAACAGCTCGGTTTTTATCTTCTGATCCATGTTGATAAAACATTTATTGTTGGAAACGATTTGAGGGTGTGGGTGTGGGTGTGGGTATGGGTGTGGATGTGTGTGTGAGTGTGTGGGTGTGGGTATGGGTGTGGATGTGTGTCTGAGTGTGTGGGTGTGGGTATGGGTGTGGATGTGTGTGTGAGCGTGTGGGTGTGGGTATGGGTGTGGATGTGTGTCTGAGTGTGTGGGTGTGGGTATGGGTGTGGATGTGTGTGTGAGTGTGTGGGTGTGGGTATGGGTGGCTGTGGATGTGGGTGAGATCAAAAAAAAGATCTGCACCCACACCCATCCCACACCCACATCCACATACTCTCTAAAAAAAAACAGTATTCTCGGAAACCAAGGGAGAAAGGTTTCCGAGTGTTCGGAAACCCATTTCTTGCCCTCGAGAACCCTTTTATCGGTTTCCGAAAGCTCGGAAACCCATTTTTTACCCTCGGAAACCCTTAAAACGTTTCCGATAGTAACAAACTCGTAAACCGAAAAGAGTTTCCGAGCCTCGGATACCCTTTCATGCGTTTCCGAACTNAATACACCACAAGTCAAACCAAAGGGAAATGAAAACCTAAAGAAAAAAAAAAAAAAAAAAAAAATCTTTATATTATTATATAGAATAATAAATAGATCTTAAATAAAATATAATAAACTATCGTTTTAATTAATTAATTTTTTTTGTTATAATTTTCACTATAGTTATTAGATAGATTATAATCTATAATCTATCTTATTCGAAGTAAATCAACATTTCTTCGCTTATTTTTTTTGTTATTTTTTATTTTCAATTCGAATTATATTAAAATTAATAAAAGTTAAATAAAAACAATAAATATTAACCTGAAATTGGTAACTTGATGTTCAAGAAATTGTTTTAATCGTTCTTTTATTTCAATAAATCGATCTTTTTCTTCCATAGTTATTGTTGATATATTACTATCAGGTCTAAAATAAACAAGAAATTTTATTTATTTTTTAAATTTATAAATCAATTTTATTATATTGTTAACCTATTTCCTGAAACATGTGATGCACAAAAAACATAACTATAATGAAGTAATTGAGGATCAATCATAAATCCTTGTTCTGCTCTATCAAGTAAATCATTTAAATAATAAAGATGTCTTAAACAACCACGAACACCATATCGAGAACAATATTCTTTTAGAGAAAAAAAACAATATTAATATGAAATTTTATTCAAATAAATTTTACCTTCAAGTACATAACTTTGTCCTGGACTTAACCAACCCTAATTAATTAACAAAATTTTATAAATAAATAAAAATAGTTATTAATAGAAAAAAACAAAGAAAAAATAAAAGACGGAAGACAAACAAAATAGAATTTAATCAAGTCGTCACCCGAGCCTAATTATTTATTTAGAAAAAAAAACGAAAAACCTGTTTAACTTATATTTAATATTAATATTTTTTGTGTTTTTTTTTTTTTCTTTCGGATAGAAAAAAGAAAAGTGATATAATATTTACCAAAGAACAATATGGATCATTAAGTCGAAAATCTAATGTTGCTGTTTGTAATGTTTTAAATAAATCATGATGATCAAATTTACATGGATCACTTTGAATATATTCATCAAAACCAAGTTTTTTCGAACGATCGGAATCTTTTTAAAAAATAAAATAAATAAATAAATATATTAACAATTATTATATATAATTAACCAATTTGATCTTTTTGTCCAGATGTTTGATTTAATTGAGAAGATTTATTATTTAATGTTATTGGTGGTGTTGGTTTATGTGATTGACCTGTAGCACGATATAATGCTTGTACCCAACTATGTCGTTCATTTTCTTCATTTGTTGCAAATGTAACAATCTCACCTTCCCGTCCAGCTTTAAAAAAATATTTTCCATCATGCATTATTAAACCTTTTTTAAATTTTATTTATTTTATAGAATTATTTTAACAAAAAAAAAAAAACATATATTATTTTTTACCATTATCGGCTTCAGCATAATCAACAGTATAACCTTCAAGTGGCATCATTTCAGTTGGTTCAGATTTTCTTTCTCGATAACTACATGTTGCAAAACAATATTGAGATACCTTTAACAATAAATTTTTTCTTTTTATTTATCTATATAAATAAAAATAATAACAACAACATCT